TAGGAAGACAATGGCTCTTAGTTACTGGCCACAGAATAGCTCGGAGCTGGCGACAGGGATAACGACATCTCCAGTAATGGTTAACAGTACATGCGCAATATTGTATTTCTGCAGACATTACCGCGTGAAAGAAGGGCTTAATTTGTTTGTGAATTTCAGGAAGGAGGCTGTGGCAGGTAGTAGAACTAAGAGTGTGGAAGGGAAAGAAGGGTATAGTACTCCCATCGTGATGGGGAAATGTAAAGGTGTGTTCGAGGAATCTCGAACTCATGCGAAAGATGTGCCAAGTTCCTCTGTTTATGATGGGTATGTGTCATCTGCTGGGTCGAAGCCCTGTCCAGTCGAGATCGATGATGTAGAGATTCTGAGCCATGTGGAAATGACAGAGGAGTGACTGAGGAGAGAGAGATCTCAGATGGTGGACGGAGACTGTAAAACCAAAAAATATGAATCCCGAGGAGAGCAGCCGTACGTTTGATGAAGACATAAACGTGCAGCCAATGAGGTATGACAATGAATTCTGGGAGCCTCTACTCGACGGTGCATATGGAGATTCGAATGCGGTTGAGTTTATGTGTCCTCCCACTGAAGAAGGCAGCGGCGGACCAGCTGAACCACTGAGGGTTATATTCTGTCAATCAAATAGCGTGTTTGACCACAAATTGTTAATTGGAGAGGGGAACTACGACGAGGCCACTTGGAAGACTGAGGGATGTGATGGAGGGGAATCAAAGAAGGGTGGGTTGGGAGGCCCAGGGATGGTCAGTGAGGCAGGGGACGGGATTCATGGTCATAGGTTTGGGGGCAACCTCAAAAAGGCAAAACCAGCGGCGAGAGGCCCAATGATGTTGATGGATCTGATTGGGGTGGACTAAAGTCCGTCGGGAGTGGTAAATTTACTGGAAGTCCTCGGCAAAGTGGCATGGACAATGGTATCTCAGACGCGAGGGATGGACGAGGAACGATGGACAAGAATAAATCTACTGCCAAAAATACCAAGCTGGGTCGTGGTGGACAAGAAAGGGTGGATGATAAACGAATACTTTTTACCAGATTGATGACGAGGAGTTTGACATTCCACCATTGTTTGACGACACCAAATACGGAAGTACCATCCCAGACCTTAATTTGGAGGGGGATGATGGCATGGTTTACGAGGGAAATGTGTATGCCAGCAAACAAGACTACCATATAGCGTTAGCTGTATACGCTATAAAGAAGGTGACAAATTACGGTCAAACAATGACAAAAAGACACTATTTTGTACTGAGTTGCACTGACGAAAAGTGCGATTGGCGGATAATGGCAAGGGAGTTCAAAGACTGCATGTATTATGAGATAAAGAAAGCCCAGCTCAACCACACTTGTGATATAGATACAAGGAATGCAGTTAAGATGAAAGTCTAGTCGTGTGTAATTGCAACCGTGTTCAAGGCTAGATATGAAGATCCTGAAAAAGGGCCCAGAGCGGCTGAGCTATAGAGACTAGTGCTGGAGGATATACGGGTGTCGGCTTCGTATATGAAGTGTTATAGGGCGATGGGAAAAACTGCTGATGATGTAAGAGGATCAGACGATGAGTCGTATTCCGGGTTGGCTCTGTATTTACATATGTTGAAGCTTGCAAACCCAGGCAGAGTAGCGGATATAGAAATAGAGATGGATGAATTTAGCGTCAACAGATTCCTATACCTATATGTGTTCCTGTCGTATGGAGCCTCAATATCTAGGTTTCGGAGGCTGAAACAATTAGTTGTGCTTGATGGGACGCATATGACAGGGAAGTTTAAGGGGGTTTTGGCTTACACTAAGTGGACAAGACGCCAATTTTCAGGTGTTCCCTCTTGCGTATGCAGTAATGGACAGTGAGAACGAGGATGCATGGACATGGTTTCTAACAAAACTTGAGCATATCTTAGTGGATAGCTCAACGTTGACCATTATATCTGATAGGACTGCTGCTATTTATGTGGCTAAGAGGAAGGTGTACCCAAGGGCACATCATGCGGCATGTATTGTGCACCTGGCTAGAAACGTGAATTTAAGGTTTAAGAACAAAGGACTCGCGAAGATGGTAGTTAGTACAGCTTTTGTGTTTTGTGTCAGGGGATTTAGGGAGGTGTTATGGAAGATCCGGATGACAAATGGGCTGTGCGCTACGTATCTGGAGACAATCGGTATAGCTCATTGGACGAAGGCCCATTTTGCTGGAGAGAGGTACAACATTATGACAAGCAATGCTGCTGAACAGCTGAACAACGCGTTGAAGGAGAGAAGGCCTTCGACGATAGTAGAACTGCTGAAGTTCATCCAGGGGATGATGACAAGATGGTTTAATGCTAGGAGAAAAAATTCACTGAAACATCTGGGCGATGTACCACCGGAGGTGGACAAGATCATGATAGAAAGCCTTATGAACTGTAAGGGGAGTAAAGTGAACGTGGTTACTAATTGGAGCTGTGAGGTTGTAGGCCAATTTGAGAAGAAGAATATGATTTTTCTTCAAGAAAAAATGTTCATATCGGGTTTTTGACAAATTGAAGATTCCATGTGGACACTCTTTGATGGCTGATTATATGTTCGGGTTGCCTTACAAAACGTTGGTTAACGATGTGTTTAAATCTAGTACCTGGGCGGAGACATACATGAGTGTCATAGTACCAGCTGAGGAGGCCGGGGATTATGATATTCCTATGGATGTTAGTTCGGTTTTTCTCTCCCCACATAATACAAAAAGGAAAGCAGGGATGCGTAAGGAGTCGCGTTAGCTTAATGTGTAGCTGTGAGGCAGTAGACGGTAATGGTCCTAATGGTGTGTATTATTGCACATAACTAGAGTGTAAAAAGATATCCCTAACAAGTGTGGCCATTATATCTGATAGGACTGCTACTATTTATGCGGCTAAGAGGAAGGTGTACCCATGGGCACATCATGCGATATGTATTGTGCACCTAGCTAGAAACGTGAATTTAAGGTTTAAGAACAAAGGACTTGCAAAGATGGTAGTTAGTACAGCTTTTTCGTTTTGTGTCGGGGGATTTAGGGAGGTGTTCGGGAAGATCCGGGCAACAAATGGGCTGTGCGCTAAGTATCTGGAGACAATCGGTATAGCTCATTGGACGAAGGCCCATTTTGTTGGAGAGAGGTACAACATTATGACAAGCAACGCTGCTGAACAGCTGAACAACACGTTGAAAGAGAGAAGACCTTCGACGATAGTAGAACTGCTGAAGTTCATCCAGGGGATGATAACAAGATGGTTTAATGCTAGGAGAAAAAAGTCATTAAAACATCTGGGCGGTATCACAAGATCATGACAGAAAACCTTATGAACTGTAAGGAGAGTAAAGTGAACGTGGTTACTAATTGGAGCTGTGAGATTGTAGGCCTATTTGAGAAGAAGAATATAATTTTTCTTCAAGAAAAAAGTGTTCACATCGGGTTTTTGACAAGTTGAAGATTCCATGTGGACACGCTTTGATGGCTGCTGATATGTTTGGGTTGCCTTACAAAATACTGGTTGGCGATGCGTTTAAATCTAGTACCTGGGCGGAGACATACATGAGTGTCATAGTACCAGCTGAGGAGGCCGGAGATTATGATATTCTTGGGGATGTTAGTTCGGTTTTTCTCGCCCCACCTAATACAAGAAGGAAAGCAGGGATGTGTAAGGAGTCGCGTTACCCATCAGTAGGGAAAATCCCTGTAAGTATAGCTTAGTGTGTAGTTGTGAGGCAGTAGACTGCAATGATCCTAATGATGTGTATTATTGCACGTAACTAGGGTGAAAAAAGAAAACCCTAACAAGTGTGGCCGCTGTGGACAACCAGGGCACAATATAGCAAGTTGTTCACAACCAAAACAAAGATGGTGGGTTGCGGATCTATAGAGACGAAGATCGTGTGGATACGTAGTTGATCATTTTGTTTTGTTTTTTTTTTGTTTGAATGTAGTAAACGGTGGTTGGTTGGTTAATGGTGGCGGTAGAAGTGGTTGGTGATGGTGATGGTGATTGTTGGTTTTTGTGGAGTAGCATCATAGTTTATTTTATAAATAGTACATAAATTGGAGATTAAAGTTAATGTGGAGACTGTGAAAGAGGATGTTGTTGGTAGGTGAATGGAAAGCATCAATGTTTTTTGTAAGTTTGTGTATGTTTGAGTTACGCTGACTATATGAAGGTGTTTATAAAATGACGACAATGATAGAAACAAAGTTATGGTGTGAATAGAATGGAAATCTAGATTGTGTATGATGTAGTGGTTACCAGATATTGTTGCGTAATCTATGGAGACATATTGATGGACAGAAAAATAAAGGATATTTAGTAGGTGGATATATTGTTATGGACATGATGTGTGGTATATTATTGAGTACAAATTATGTTTGGGCCACCAATAAATTTTTGGGCATCGTCATTGGCTGAGAATAATGGATTTAACATAACGAAGTAAGTCTGTATAAAGACTCGTATATGGGTTTATGTGTGGGTCACCCAATCCATCTTGAAGAAGTTCAAAATCGGATATAGACACTTGAAAGGATGTTATCTGCGGTGCGTAGTTCGGGTCAGGGGCAAGTTCTTCTAGCCGAAACCAGAACAGATGGAGGGTTTATTGTGCTACGATAACAGGGTGACGGTATTGATAGATATATTACTCGTATGAGAAACATGAATTCTATTGCTGTGTGGATTATAAAAAGCTACATAATTAACAGAAGCAGAGTTTATTGGAGTTTGATTCATCTTAGATATCTGAAATATCTTACAAAAGAAACCATTTGGGATATTTGTGTATATTCGATTCGGTTTGATTCCTTTTACTTTGTTTCGGTTCGATTCTAGATCATTTGTTCAAACAGGCTTGTTATTACAACAGAAAATGAGGTTAAAACTCAATTTTATCTTTTGTTGAGACTAAAAAAAAGATTCATGAAAATTCCACTCCCGAACAGTTCAAATTTGATATTACCAAATTTATTTCTTACACGTGTATAATGTTTTCTCAAACTCTCATATAAAGTCAAAACTCAAAATATAATCGTGTTTCATCGCAACAAAGTAGGTGTGGATGAACACTTACTTTGCTTCTGTCGACTCCACGAAAGCTTTTCTATTTACCCTGATTCCGCTTCCCATGGCCACCGTTAAGAAGATAGTTCGCGTAGCGGCTTCTCAGATGACATCTGTCAATGATCTGATGGTCAATTTCAACACCTGCTCTTGTCTCGTACAAGTAATCAATCCTCCTTATCTCCAGATTCATTTCCCGATTATGTTCCACAATTGACTTATCAGGTTTCGATTATACATTAATGATACAATCCGATAAGATTTTCAAGTTATACGTTTGTCCATATGAAGTAGATGAGGAGTAAAACTCAAAATTTGCAAAATTTTTTTATGATTTTGAAGTAAATAAAAAGGAAGAGTATTAATCTCAAGTGACTGAAATTTGAAAATCTGATTTTTATTATCCAAATTAGTAGAGAGTTCTAGAAGAATAATAAAAAAACGAGTAAATGAAAAAACTGGTTTTAATAGATTAATACTGACATTACATTTCTATTGTAAAAACTAAATTGGTTTTCAAAACGTAACATAATGGTATACCATTGTATAGATAACATAACAAGTACTACAGAATAACGTATGCCTAACTCTAGTATTGACTTTTTCACTGACAAAAAGAAGCAGCAACAGCCGGAGCAAAGCTGATTTGAATCCCTGAGAACTTCTCCTATATGGGAGAGAAATCAGGAGACAGCGTAAAAATCTCCGAAGCATTAGACGGGCCAGTGATGCAACGGTATTGCTCTCTCGCCAGGTAAGTGTAATGATGTTCACTTTAATGTACATTAAGACAGTTTCCTCTTTATGGCGTTTATCTAACATGTTTTGTGTTTTTGTAGGGATTCAAATATATGGTTGTCTCTTAAAGGCTTCCAAGAGATATTTGATGATACACATTTTAGTAATACACATGTTGTGATCGATGATGCTGGGATGATTCAAAGCACTTAGCAGAAAATGCATTTCTAACTATTTCTAATTGTTGAGTTGATTTCTTTTTTTTTTTCTGAACTGTTTCGAATGTATTTGATTAGAATCACTAAGTGACAACTTCTCTATCTTTGAAGGTTTGGTGTTGATGTTCCTGGTGGAAGCTCGTACAAAGAAAGCGGCTTTACGGTTCCACGTAAGCCCTGAATCTTGTTCATCTTGTTGATTAGATGGTCCTTGAGCATTTGGCTTTCATGAGTACAAAGTACTGCGATTAAGAAAGTAAAAAAAAAATTGAAACAGCTCAAAATCCAAATTCGTTGTTTAGAACACTTGAAGTTTGTATCGATAACATTTCGTTTGTCACATCATTAAGATGATATTCTCTACAGATTGTTTTTTTGTGCTTCACACTTAATAAGATTTAGGAACTGATGTATTTTATATCTATAAGATAAATCTTTAAATCCTTTATTTTTTTTCAGGGACAAATATTGTTTCTGTAGATAGTCCTATTGGGCGCTTAGGCCTTACTGTATGCTACGATTTGAGGTTTCCTAAGATTTATCAGCAACTGAGATTCGACCAGAACGCTCAGGTAGAACACTTGAAGTTTGTATCGATAACATTTCGTTTGTCACATCATTAAGATGATATTCTCTTCAGATTGTTGTTTTGTGCTTCACACTTAATAAGATTTAGGAACTGATGTATTTTATATCTATAAGATAAATCTTTAAATCCTTTATTTTTTTTCAGGGACAAATATTGTTTCTGTAGATAGTCCTATTGGGCGCTTAGGCCTTACTGTATGCTATGATTTGAGGTTTCCTAAGATTTATCAGTAACTGAGATTCGACCAGAACGCTCAGGTAAAATCCAATGTAAAATCCAACTTATTATGATTTTTCAAAACTCTTGAAGAAATGAAATGAAATATTAATGTGACCAAACTGAGTTTCTACAGCAAAACATTAACTGAAAAACTCTGCAGGTTTTACTTGTACCGTCAGCTTTCACAACTGTCACTGGGGAGGCACACTGGGAGATTCTTCTTCGAGCCCGAGCGTTGAAACACAATGTTATGTATGTGATTACCACACTTCTCTGTTTCTTTAACACTTCTTATTGCATTTGATTTTACTTGCTTTCTCTTCAGGTCATAGCTGATGTTCAAGCTGGAAAACATAATGAGAAAAGAGAAAGTTATGGAGACACACTGATCATTAATCCGTGAGGAACTGTAGTTGGAAGATTACGTGGTGAGAATTCCAATATGATAATAATCTGTTATAAATCTTTCTGATCAAAATCAAATGATTGATGATGTGATATATTTTTTGGATATAATTTGATATATTTGTTACTCTTTGCAGATCGGTTTTCGACTGGCATTGTCGTTGCAGATATTGATTTTTCACTGCTTGATTCGGTGAGAACAAAAATGCCTATTGATAAGGTAAAATACAGACTTGGCAAATGCATAATGAGTTAAACAATATAAGTTCTTAGATGCAAAAATTGAATTTCTCTTTCTGTGGACCAAATGGAAACAAGGTTAAACAATAGAAGTTTTATGTTTCCATCTTCTTTGGTTTTGTAGCAACGAGTGTCGATAGATCTCTGAAGAACCCTGATAGGACTCATACGAGTGTATGTAAGGAGACATTCTGCAAGGAAACAAGGTGAAGAAGATTATTAAGACCTTACATACATAAGAACTGTAAGTAGATTAGGAGTTGATTTTAAGAAGCTCGTATTTAAAATCTCCAAAACCGCCATTATATTCTCTGACACATAAAAGTTTTGTATCTTGCTTATGCCCATGAATTTGAAGATCTATCCTATTTGGTACATTAAGAGTTTAAGACTATCACTCTAGTGAACTCAAGAGGGAAGTAATAGTAATACATAGCTACTGAAAAATGGACAATCAGTGATTGTTAAAGTCAATATAAAGTATATGTTTACAAGTTTCTCAAAAACTTTGGAAAAGTCAATGCGAGATTCCACTTAAGCGAAAATTGCACAATTGTTTATAAATGTATCTCAGAACATTTCTTGGGAACACTTATAATTTATTATTACAAGAAAGACATAGTTCCTCACATAGAATTGACAGAGTCATCAGCATTTGCCATATCCATGATCTTGGATTTTGGATTCACCACCCTACAGTTCAATCTAATCTCTCCTTGTTTCCCTGTTAAAGGTGAAAGGTCTCCCATCCTTTTCATTGCCTCCACGAACGCTTTGAAAAATTTATCTTGACTATCAGCATATACACGGACTAAAGGGATAGTGTCTGAAGCATCTGAGCTAGAGAACAACTCTTGGTCACTTTGGATAAGACCTTTGTTCTCTTTGAGATTCACATAGTATTTGTTGTCAAAGAGTGTAGGCGTACGTGAATCGAAATCCACCAAGACACTTTGGTTTCCATTGCGAGGACATTGTTTTCGGAGTGTGCTTAGGTAAGATTTATCAAGGGTTGGATCGGGTGAACCGGAGCCGCTGAAGTTGTAGAGCCGGTCCATTATGAATTGGCATTGGTTTTTGCCAAAAGTGTGACCACCTAACCAAAGCAAAATATCAAAAGAATAAATAAAACTAAACATAGAGTTACTAATCATATATATAATTAGGCAAGCTTCTCTCCACAGCAATTTTTTAATTTTTTATGATCTTTCAAATTTTTATTTTTTATGGGCTTATATATACTTTGTATATATATATTTTACAAACACACAAAAATTATAAATTATCTAATTTCCTTTTTTATGGGGGTTTATATACAGTTTCTTTAGACATTTACATAACATAATTTAAAAATAAAAAATAAACTCTTCTTCTACAAACAACAAAAAACTGTAGTGACATAATTTAAAAATAAAAAAATCAACATTTCTTCTACAAACAACAAAAAACTGTAAATTATCTATAAATAAAAACTTTTAGAATGCTATTTCAATTAACAAATAAAGATAGTATGTGAGATGGCAAATTTATTTTGTTGATCTTGATAAAAATAAACGGCATAAAAAGTCAACTAAATAAAAATATTTATTGAGAAGATATTAATATATTATAAAAGATAATGTATAAGTATAAGAACGAATGTTTTTTACAATAAACACATCATATTTTATATTAAAAAAATAACTTTACAATAGATCTATGTATTTTAGGTTAATAAAAAAACTAAACACCATTTAAAATTAAAAAGAGCAAAACAAATATTAAAAAAACATAATAATAATAGAAATATATAATTTTGAATAAGAAATAAAAAGACTGGATGCTATTGATGGTGACTTTTTGTTGTTGATGTCACTAAAATTAAGCTACATAAAAAAAAGTCAATTGAATAAAGCTATTTAATGAGACAACAATGTATAAGTATAAGAATAAGTTTTCTAAACAATTAACACATTAAATTTTTTATTAAAAAATATTCTTAATAGGTCAACATGTTTTAGGTTAATTAAAAACTAAAAAATTATTTAAAATCTAAAAAGAGAAAAACAAGTATTAAAAAGGTAAACATAATAATAATACCAATATATAAAATTATAAAATAAAAAATTTGGAATAACAACTTTTTTTGACATTCATAAAATATCTACATACTTTAGGATAGTAAAAAACTAAAACAACATTTAAATTTAGTTTTTTTAAAAAAAAAACAAAACAAATATTAGAATGGTATAATACAAATATATGAAATTATAAAGTAAAAATATTAGAATAACAATTTTTGACATTATTGGAATAAAAAAAATAACTTTGCAAATTCAATTTAAGATATAAATTCTGAATAATATTTTGAATAAGAAAGAAAAAGAGCGAGTGAGATTGGTAGTGAATTTAATTTGTTGATCTTGCAAAAAATAAATTAAAAAAAAGAAAGCCAACTGAATAAAGATATTCAGTAGGAAAACATAAATACTTACAACAGCATATAAATATGTAAAAAAATTCTTATCAATTAACACATCACAGTTTTTATTAGAAAAATAACTTTACGATAATCTAACATATTTCTAGATAATTAAAAAAGAGTAATATTTTTAATTTAATAAAAAATAAAGAAAAATATAAAACAATACAAAAAGATAAACATAATTATAATATTAAATTTTAAAATTAAAATTAAATTTATAAATAATTTCGTGTAAAACGCGGATCTGTCTCTAGTGATTTTAACTACAGATGTTCAGGTTATTCGGATTTTGTTTTTTTCAGGTTCTAAAAAAACAAAATCTCATTTGGAATTAAACCATTGTTCACTTTGGTTCCTGGTTTTCAGGTTTTCAAAAATAAGTCACATTCCATATCAAATTATATTTTATTTTTGTTTGATTTTATTTTCTAAAAAAAGATTATAATAAAAAGAAAATTGTTGTTCAATTTTAGATAAAAATCAAAAATAAACACAAGCACAAAAACAGTAAACTGATTTTAATAAAAAAGTATACATTTAATATATTAAAATATATTGTTCTATATACTTATTAATAATATAAATGAATTCACTTAATCGATTTAGTTTTACAAAGTCGGGATTCACTTCGGTTTGGAATTAGTTAATTTTGTTTATACATTTTTATTTTATTTGAGTTATAATTTTATTCAAAATTTTGGGTTTATGTTCAAAAATTTTAGGTTGATTCAGAAATTTAGTTCAATCCTAATTAAAATTATTTATTTATGATATTTTTAGTGATTAGATACCGGAGAGAGCAACGAGATCAGAAGGATGATCGAGTCCAACTTTTTTGAAGCTAGCTTTAAGTTCTCTAAAGGTAAAGAATGGAGCAGGAAGGTTTGCATTAGCAAGATCCATGAACCCTTTTAAGCTATCTCTTCTTCCACTTGCAACCTTCCATGAAGGACCTCCTGCCTATTGTGTGTTCAATTAAAAGTAAACATTTATATTTTATCTAAGTATTTTCGCCTATAAACCGTTTTTAATTTGCAAAAAGAATCAAAGATATATATAACATTGTAAGAGATGCATACCAACACGACAGATTCTTGAGCTGCGATGGCGAGCAAATCAGCACATGAAACGGTTTTAGGACATGCTTTCTCCACGGCAGCCTTCATCTTATCAATCACATCGAAGCCACGAGCTGACTTTGCGTTTCCAAACGCATCTTTCTCCGTCCTAAACGATGTTGTGTTGTCTAGCAATATCGATGCATCACATCCCTTTTACACAACAATTTTTTTTTCTTCTCGTTTAGTCAAGTATCACTATTATTAACTTATTTAACAACTGCTGCGTATTTTTTTATATTTATTTGTTATTATCATTATTATTACTAATATTTCCATTATTGTACTTAAAACGAGGAATCTATCATCAAATTCACAACATGATAGTGTTCCATAATCCATGTTTCAAAGCGTTATCGAAAGACAAACAAATACTAATCGTTTTTAATAGTAGGCCAAGCTACAATTTTTTTGTTTGTATAACCACAAATTAAAATAGTTATGATTTTTTTTTAAATTTAACTAAAAGAGTTATGAAAAACAAATCACGAAAATCTTATATAGCCAAAAAAAAGAATAAGTCATGATTCTTTAGATATAAAAGAAAATTATGTAACTTTTTTGTGTGGCTATAAGATTGTAACTCGTTTTTTTTAAAGTTTATATGAAATTTTTCGTGGTTTTTTCATGGCTTTTCCATAGCTAATCGGCTAATATACAAAAAACCTTTACTAGTCGAGAGCTGTCTACCATGAGTAACTTAATTATTATGTTAGAAAAATTTGATGTCCGACCAAAAAAAATACGGTATAAAGATTTGTTGTAAAATAATATGCCGAGGTGGATTATAAGATATACTAATTATTAACTAATCATCTTTGACTACCTACTTTGACGACAGGATATAAAAACTTAAGAAATCACTGCAATCTATGTAGACTTATACTAATCAAATCAAAAGTTGTGGTTTATCCAAATATTAGAAAACGTATTACTATTTTAAAACAAAATCTATACGGGATGTTGACCACAAAAAAACCTCTAGGTAATTAAACAGTAACACGATTTCATTAAGTAGTTCTCATATATATCATTAATCGTCGTGTGAAAATATACCCAAAATTATATATCTTTTTTTTTGGTTTTTAAGAAATTATATATCTATTAGTTCAACAGAAGTATAGACTCTCATTATCCCATTATACGATTTCTTTGGTATAATGTCTAGCAGTACTACCAGTTTAGCTATATTAAGATGTCCATTCAGTTCCTTGACTTGGATTATAAAAAAGTTATTTGACCTTGTTATTAGACGTGAATATGTTGAATCTAGTGGTATCTTACATTGACAAAGCAGTCATGGAAGTGAAGACGAAGGATGCTCGCTGAGATGCGAGGGTCAGATCTCAACGCATTGACAATAGTTTTGGTTGCAATGTCAAAGACTTGCGGACATGTTTTGTCGTAAAAGGAAGGGCTAAGTTGAGCGTGAGACGATGATACATGAATAAGAAGAAGGAGAGCTACCAATTTTGTTAGGGTAGTCAAATCAAAAGAGGAAGAAGAAGGAGAGAAATGCATTTTGTTGGTTAAGGTTTAAGTTTTGTGAATGAAGGTTGATGGTATCGAATACTTTTATAGGCAAAACGGTGTAACGAATCTTTTTTTCTTTTACTATTAATAACAAAAAAAGTGGTCTAACTTGGAGGCCTTTCTTTTTGTAAGTCATTTAGGATATTTCTATGCAAGTGGCGTGTATACGAGAATACATTGTATGTGACCGTAAAGCTTCAGAGTAAAAAGGTTAGGGTAATGTAGAGTGCAGAGCGTTTATTTATTTATTTTTATTTTCATTAGAGTGAAGAGAAATATAATAATTCAACGAGAAACGCTTTCCACTCTCTTATTTTTACTCTAATACAACCTACCAATCACACGCAATTGAGACTAATAATTCTGCACAATGTGGTTTACAAGTATCTTTCGGCAAAGTCGTTAAAGCTTAAGAGAAAAAACACTTTATCACGTGTTTCTAATGCATATACTTTTTTCCTCGCATTTTTGATACGTTTAAACTTAATTACTCTATATTAATAAAAGTAATAGTGCTCTCTTCTTCATTTTTTTTGGGGAGAAACTATTGTACTGTGTTGTCTCTTGCACTTAAGCATCTTGATTTAGTTATTCAGCGTTGTGAATATAGTTTATATGTATTTGCTTGAAGTTGATGTACTTGTTCATGCATTTTAAGAATTGTTGTAGAAAAAAGGAAATTAAGAGTGAATAGGCTAGGCAGAACATACATGAGATAATAAATCAAATATACGGATGTCTTAATTTGACCAAGTATACATCTTTGTAGATTTGGTCTTGTTGTTCAAGAATATAAAGATGAATGTTGAAGATGCAATATTTCTGTGGAGATGCATAAACAAAACCTGCAAGAGAAAAGGAAATCAGTTAGAATGATCAAAGCTTGTAAGCTTAAAGGAAAAAGGAAAATCAACAAGAAAAGGAAATCACAAGATAATAATAAAAAAGAAATTGTTCTTATTTTAGGATTAGGAAAATGTAAAAGTCATTGAGTCTATGGTTATAAATAGATGTCGATGGCTTCTTTAGAAAATCAGAGATTAAGAATTTGAGTTTTCAAAAGCTAAAGGGGTTTTGGGTTTTCTTGTAAGAGAATTCAAATTGGGGAGATTAGATTTTCTTTGAGAGATACTTGTAAGTTCTCTAAAAATTGGTTTCTTGTAAGTTACCTTTGAATAAAATCTAATTGATGAATTGTTTGAAGAATCTCTGTGTTAAATAATATCTCTAGAAGTTCTTGTTTTTTCAATTTGTATCAGAGCGGGAACCTGCACTTATTCAGGTGTGATCCTGCGGCAAGATGGAGAACGCTAGAGAAGTTGTGCTTGTGAAGCAAACAGTGCTGAATAAAGCAACGTACGGATGGTGGAAATCTAAGATGACAGCAACAATCAAAAGCATTGATGAAGATGCATGGACTGCGGTTGAAGAAGGATGGTCACCTCCGACAAAAGTAGACAAAAAGGCAACTCAATTCCAAAACCAAAAAATGAATGGACAGTATCGGAGAAGCTGCAAGCAAAGTGGAATTCAAAAGCTTTATGTGAGATTTTCAAATCTGTAGAAGTAAAACAGTTTGAATTAATTCAAAGCTGCAAATCTGCGAAAGCTGCTTGGGAGATTCTACAAAGTGTGTTTGAAGGAACATAGACCGTTAAAAGGAGTCGACTTGATCTGCTTGCTTCAAAATTCGAGAATCTGAGAATGGAAGAGCATGAGATTGTTGAAGAATTCAGTGCTAAGATGTGTGCTATTGCGAATGAGGCTGAAGTACTAGGAAAGAAATACAAAGACAACAAGCTTGTTAAGAAACTCTTGAGATGTCTTCCTCCTAAGTTTGCTGCTCAAAAAACATCTATGAGGGTTTCTCTAAACACAGATACTCTAAAGTTTGAAGAAGCAGTTGGGATGATTGAAGCATATGAGATGGAACTAGTTGCTGAAAACCCTGAGAAATACACAGGAATTACCCTTGGTGTTACAGAAAATAAAAAACAGAGTGACCTAGAAGAAACAGTGGCGCTGTTGGTAAAGAAATTCACTCAAGGATTCAAAAAGGATCAGGGAAGTAAGAGGTTCGCATCCAATAGAAGATCAGCTGAATCAGAAAAGAGCAATATAAAATCTGATTTTCAGTGTTTTGAATGCAAAGGCTATGGACATTTTAAAGTTGATTGTCCAACTGCAAAAAGAATGGAGATCAAGTGCTTTAAATGCAAGGGTTTCGGTCACACTCAGATGGAATGTGCGAATAATCAGAAGGCTCGGGGAGAACAATCGTTCATTGGCATTGATGTAAGTGACTCTGAGGAAGACGATAGTGAAGAAGATTTGAGTAACTTTGTTGCTTTCATTGTAGAAAGCGATGACATTGAAGGCAATGAAGCTTTTAAAGATGAAAAAGAAATAGAGAGCAGAAACGAAGATCAAGGAGAAGAGTATGACTCAACTGATGATGAAGATGAAATTGTGATGAAACCTGAGTACAAAGAAATCTGTGACACTTTAATCAAAATAACTAAGGAGAATGTTACTTTGATCAGAGAGAAGACTAGTCTCAAAGCAATGGTGGACAGATTAGAATTTGAGCTAGTAGAAGAGAGAAAGAAGTCGCAGAAAGTGCAGATGGATTTTGACGAAAAGCTTAAGCAAATCAGGATGCTCAACTCAGGGACAAAAGAACTTGACAAGATTCTGAATGTAGGAAGAACTGAAAAAACACATAGAGGCCTGGGATATCAAGGAGTAACTCTACATGAGAAACCTATGTTTGTTAGTGGAGGAAAACATGAGGAAGAGACTCGTTACTTTGAGAAAAAGAGTCCGCAAACTCAAGTTCAGCAGCAAAAATTAATTCAATCTCAACAACAACCAAGAAGGACAGGTTGCTATTTCTGTGGAAAGCATGGCCATATTAAAGCTTATTGTCACAAACTTTAAAACAGAATATAGAAACTATGGAGACAGATGAAATTTACCTGGAATGGATGGAGAAACCAATTTTGGGTTAAATCGAGAGATCTCTATGAAAACTCATATCCTTGCAGGTAAGACAATGACATCCAATGCAATACTGCAATCGTATCTGAAGATCGTTCCTGCATCAGTTTGGAAAACGAGTCAGAAGAAAAAGAAAAAGAACTAATATGGGATTTAATCTCAGAATCAGATTCTGAAGAAGAGGAAGAATTAGAGTTTGGTACCTTTCATGCGCTGATGGCTATAGAAGCAGAAGAAGCTGAAGAATGGTACTCTGATAATGGATCTTCAAGACGTTTGATAGGAAAGAAAGACTGCTTGTCTGGTTCTAAAAAGATCACCAAAGACAAAGTAACGATTGGTGATGGTGTTGAAGGAGGCATTAAAGACAAAAGTGTAACAGAAAGAGTTGAATAATTAAAAGGAAACCTGATTAGTGTCGAACAATTGTGTGGTCAAGGTTTCAAAGTTCTTTTCACCGGGACTAAGTGTTCAATCGTAGATGGCAATGGGAACAATCTCTTCAGAGGTTTAAAAGATGGCAACAACTGCTACATGTGGAACTCCTTTGGTGAATTACTGAATGCAATAGATAACCTGCAAATGGCTGAAGAGTATGGAGTTAAATCAAGTTCCTTCTTTGTTCGATGTGACAACAAGAGTGCAATTGATATGTCTAAGAATCCAGTTCAGTATTCTAGAACAAAACACATTGATATAAGGCATCACTTCATCAGAGAGTTCATTGAGCATAAAGATGTTGTGATTGAGCATGTTGGAACTAATATTCAGCTAGAGCCTCTAGATTTCAATCAGTTTGTCAACTTGAGACAAGCCATTGGAATTTCTGAACTCTGATTTTATCAGAAGAAGATGTGCTAAATAGATGAGAATCTAACTCAAGAGAAATTTGTGTTTGGAGTTAGATCCTGCTTTTAAAGAAGAGGAGTTGTGCGATCGTGTATCAGTTTTGTGTTGCTTACACTTTTTAAATCAATTCCGGATGAACATTTGGATAATGTTTCAAAGATAAAGCTAAGAGAAACAAGCAGGAATCGAGTTGATGTTACCTGGAGGAAACTAGAATCACGACAAGGAGACATTTATTCCAGCTAAAGCTGTTAAAAGAATTCAAGAGAAATTGTTTAGTTCTTCACTAGTTGTTCATGAGTCAAGAAGATAAAGCTAGAGTAATGTATTTTAAGGGTAAAAGAGTTACCCAAAGGCGAAGAACAGAACGTGAGGAGAGGAGCTATATTCATGGAAAGTGCTGAACAGGAAAATGTGGATTTTCAAGCAATGATGGTGAGAGGCATGGAAGAGATAATGATGCAGGTCAAGAAGAGTTTACATGTGCCATTGGAATAATGGAAGTGTAGTAATGATTCATCAGATAAGCTACAAAAATGAAGAAGAAAAGTTCATGAAATCAAGTTGGGATTTCATGCCTCAGAAATTTCAGAAGCTCGGAGATGATTTAAGTCGCAAAGGGGTACTTGAATTCACCAAAAGATCAGAAGAGGCATGGTGGTTCATCAAAGAAGATGCAGAAGCTGTGACGGTGGCTGGTCGGTTTTGTTGTCAAATCGAGAACAGGGTTTCACGATTTTGGGCTTCACGGCTTCAGTAATGAGGACTAAGAGCTTTGACAGGACCAGTGAGGATTTGCCATGGGAATTTCGCCGGAAACAGCAAAAATTATGGTGAATTGGTTTGGATCTAATTGAAAAATTTACATAAAAAATAGAGAAAGAAAACTTTGTCAAGAGTCTGACTCGTCATAAGCCCAAGGTAAAGTTGCCGGAGAATTTGACGGTGGCCGGAAGGGTGGCGTTTTTCTCTTAATTTCGTGCGAAGAAATGATCTCAAAAATGTCATCAACCAAAGAAGCAACTAGAAGAAGAAGAAGTCGTAATTGAGGAGAGAGACAAATTAGTTTGTCCAGTTGAAGATTATAACTTATGGGCCTAAGTCATGTTATTTCTGGCCCAAATCCGAAATTTAGTTGGTTCAAGCAAATGCTTAATTCAGTCC